TCAGCACATCACCCCTGCCTAGTTGCAGAACTTTCCCAGTACCTCCAAAGACAGCCTGCCCCCCTCAAACAGCCACGCTCCATTCCTCTTTCCTCTCAGTCCCTGGCAGCCACTAATTACTTTCTGTCTCTGCTTATTCTGGGCATTTCAGAGAAACAGACTCATACACTACATGGCCTTTTGCATCTGGCTTCCTTCACTCTGCACGCTGCTTCCAGGGCCCATCCAAGTTGTAGCCTGAATCAGGGCTTCATTCCTTTTCATGACTGAATACTATTCCATCGTATGGATACGCCACACTGTTTACCCATTCTTCCTCTGATGGGCATTTGGGCTCTTTCCACCTTTTGGCGATTGTGAAGTCAAGCACTTGACCTTTCATTGATTTCCAGCCTGCAGCTCTCTGCTGGGTTCAGGTCTAACACCAGCCGCTGGGAAGGCTGTGATGAGGTCACCAGCAATTCCCTCAGCTGCCCTGGCCTGGGGCAGCCCTGTTCCCTCCCAAGGTCTCCTCACAAGTTTTCCATTTGGCTGACTCTGTACACTCATCCTCATACCACACCTCCCGCTGACAACCCCACCTTCCCAGCAGGGAGCTGACAGAGACCTTGACTCGGCTCGCACCCTCGCTGCACGGCGGGTCTGTGTTTCCCACGCTGCCCACTGGCTTCCCGCTGGGCATTTGTCAGCCCACCTGTGAATCCAAAGCTTTACCTGGCTCAGCCCTTCTGAGGCCCACACCACCGCATGGGGCGGGGTTACCATTACTTCCCAGGTTGTCCAGAGGAGGCAACATGAGGAGGCAGAACTCGGGGCCCTCCCCTCCCCCGGAGCGCTCCCAGCACCTGGCCAGTACTGCACCCACATCTTTGTCGTTTGCCGTACTCACTGCCTGTCCCCCGCCCTCAAACACTAAAGTCTAAGCGAGAACAAGCTCCTCCCGGCTGCAGGTCTACACAAACCCAATGTGCTTCCATGAAAATAGGGAGGCGCCGAGAGGCCACAAGTATGACATCTCTGAGGTGACCCCCCCAGGCTGGGGCCACTGACGCAGGCCACAGAAGGCACCACGTAGGGCCCCAAACGGGGCGAGTGCCATGGGGAGACAGGGCCCAGAGAGAGGACCCAGACCCTGCTGGGAGGTGGGGAGCCCTGGACTTGGCTCCTTCTCCTGTACCTCCATCCCAAGCCCAGCCCACTCACAGGACAGTCGTGCCCCTTGGCACCAGAAGCCAGTGAAAGACCACAGCCCCTCGTCCTGCCGAGCACGACCTTCCTCCCCTGCACTTCCGTGTTGCTCTGCTCACACCCCGGTCAGGGGAAGTGCTGGGGGGGGGGGGTCAGCCCACATGGGCCCCGGGAGCCCCTCACACACCTCTCTCCCAACTGTGCCATCAGTGACACCCGACGGGGTGCCTGACGCCAGTCACGAGGGAGTGTTTACACCAGGGAAAGTGGCAAGTGCCAGACATCAGGCCCTACCCCGGCCAGGTTTTAACCACTCACCAGCGCCTCTGCCCACAGAGACCTCTGCAAAGTTCTGCAGAAGAAACTGGTCATCCGAGGCAGAGGAGGGCGAGCAGGCATTTCTGGAGAGGAAGAAGGCTTACCAGGAGGCGGAGAGAGGACATCTGGGAGGGAGGCAGAAAGGAGACGTCTTTGCATGACCAAGGCCTCACAGCCAGTGGAGAATCAACCCCAGACCCCCAGGTCCAAACTGGGACTCGTCCCACCGAACCACGTGGCCTCCATGAACCCGAACAAAGTGTGATCAACAATCACCGCAGAGCTGACGGAGCAAGGAAAGGCAGGGGCCCTCTTTTAGCCGAGGGTAGAGGTCTCTACAGCCAGAAGTAGGTGGTTTGGGAGTGGGTGGTCCCTGTCTGCCTTCCTGCCCATTGCCCTGGGCTCTGGCCCCAGACCTCCCACGGGCATGGTGCTCCTGGCCGCCCCGCCCCTCGACGGAGTCCCAGCCAGCGCAGACAGCAGGTGGACAGCATTCCCTAAGTGAGCTGGCCCTTCCAGGGCATGGGTTCAGGGCGAGGTTATGTCCATCAACTTTAAGGACAAATTCTCAGTTTATTAATTCTCCTCTGTTACGCAGGCGAAAGTAAATAAGCTTTTCTCAGGCAGCCTGGCACGGAGGCCTTCCCTATTCAAACACTGCAAGAATTGACAGGCTTGGAAGTGCTGCGCTCCCAGGCCCCGCTTCCCAGGGGGCCCCTGGCCTCCTGCCCACACGGCCCCGCCGACCCAGACGAGGCGAGCCCGCGGGGGGCAGGCCCGGAGTCCAGTGCCTGCGGCCCCGCGCGGCCCTGGTCCTTCGGTGTGAGCACCAGGACCCTGGGCATCCACAGGCCGCCGGAGAAGGTCCGAGAGGGCCTGGTCAGAGCGGGAAGCGTCACACCGGCTGGCTCAGCCCCGCTGTGAGCAAAGCATTGTGGGGGTTTATCTAGGGCTTGCTTCCATTTACATCGTGTTTTTAGAGGTTCGGAAGGAAGAAAGGAAATACACCGTAACAAAACCAGAAGGAGTCAGAAAGTTAATTAACTAACCAAGAAGTGCCCAAAAAGACCCTTCGGAGGAGGACGCTGCCCGGTCTGGAGGCGCCGGCTCAGGAAGCCGACGGGCTGGGCGAACCCAGAGCGCCGCGCGCCGTACGCCGCTTCCTGCGCTGGACCGAACCCCACGAGTTGTTTTCTTCTCCCCTCTATTTTTTTCCCATTTGCCCACTTCTGACTTGCAAGGCAAAAAGCCAAAAACCACTGCAAGGACCAGAAAAATGGGAGGCGAGAGAGATGAGGAGGCTCTGCCTTGGCCTCGGGGGAGCAGGGTGCGGAGCCCGAAGCGCTCGTCGTGGTGAGTTCTCACGACTGATGTCACATCAAGGAGCGAGTGAGACTCCATTAAATGGAAGTGTGCTCTCGCTCCAGAAGGCTCTGCCCCACGGCCGGACGGTGTTCCTCCCAGGCGTACTTTTCAGAGAGCGTCCTCACCAGGCTTGTCAGGTGCCCCTTTGCTGCCCCCTCGGCACCCTGTCTCCCGTACGTGTCCCCTGCTGCTCAACCACGGAGACGGAAGCCGCTACCCAAATACTCAGACCGACATGCCTTTGGTTTCCCGGTGTGGCCTCGGCACTCCCTGAAACGCTTTTCTGTTCTGTCTTATTGAGGGCTGTTTTCCGACTGTGCATACGTGCGAGTCTGAAATCTGTTTTCTCTCCAGGCCCCGGTGTACTGCCAAGGCTCAGACGTTCAGTCTTTATTCTAAAACATTCAGGCAGCCACGTGGGAGTGCGGGCCTCCCCCAACCTCGCCCCCGTCCTACCTGGAGGGAAGGAAAAAGCCCCCAGAGCTGACACATGTCCACATGGGGCCCCACGGCCACCCTTCCTGTTCCCCAGCCCCATTCCTACTCCAAGGTCCAGGACACAGAAGGCCCATGTGACCCCCAGACCAGGACACTGGGTTCAAGCCCGGCCTGCCCTCGGCAGGGCGCCCCATCCAGCCGGGCTCTGAGTCCCATTAACCTTCCTTGTGCCAAGGACTGATGACACCCATAGACCCAATCTCACAGTAATATCTTTAAATACAAAAATAAAATACACAGGACGACTGTGGATGAAAAAGGGGCCTGATGAGCTCAGGGCAGGCCCGTGTGGTTGGCCTTACAAACTCAGAGACCAGAGTAACCACACACGGTGGTCTGAACACACAACTCCCAACTGGAAGCAGGAAGCAGGGCGTGGCTGGGGTTACGTCCTAGGCCTGCGGTTTCCTGAGCACAGGTCGGTGTTTACTGAAGTGAGCCTATCTATTGTCCTTTTGCATCTAAGATAACAGACCTCTGAAATGTCAGAGTGACCTCCTTTTCCAGACCTCCGAGGACACAACGTCCACACCAGTGACCACGCACCCCTCACGTTATCTTGTTCCCACATGTCACCTCCATGTGCTGTAAATGTTCATTATTAACCATCCTGTACCCCAGTGGAAAAGAGGTAGGTGCCTCTCCACCTTACTTTTTACCCAATCCCAGGGATTTGCTTTCTCCCACCCCCTTAACCTACCACCAAAAGGTTTCACGTGACACCCTGACGTCCCCTCCTTTGATTCTAACGTATAAAATGAGCTGCAAACTGCCCTTCTCCAGAGCATTTTCTCAATCTGTTGAGATTCTGTTTACTGGCAATTGTCGTCAGTTTGGCTCACACAAGGTTCTTCCCTAGAATGGATGTTTTTTTGTCGACTATAAAGGAAACAAATATACTAAAATACGATTATACAACTATTTTCAAAAACCGCGATTGACGGTACAGCTACATACTGTACGCGCTTCTTGACTAATGACCGTGAATCGGGACGTTGCGGCAGGTCCGGTGACTCCGTCATTTTGAAGCACCCGTGAACACAAACGGTATTTCATGATATCTGCCCCAACTCTAACAGGACGTGACAACAGCTGTGGCTGCTGGTGGCCAAGCCAGCGGTGCTGCTGGCCCTGCTGTGGTCCGTGGCCCACCTTCGCAACAGGAAATGCTCGATTTCGGTGAGCAGTGAGGGACAGGGAAGGCGTGACTCTCTTCCTGTCCCAGGTCACTGTCCCCCACTCCGCTGTCTGCTTGTGGACCCGTTCCGTTTCCTGCTCAGGAATGCCTTTGTCATCTCCTTTCTCCCCAGCCCCAAGAAGGGGTTCCACGGCCCCCTCCGAGGGTGCGGGGCTGGCAGGCGGGTGAGCAGGGAGCAGCTCTGAGTCCTGGGCTTCGACAGAGGCTAGCCCGCGGACACTGATAAAACCCCCTCTCCTCTACCCTTGGAGGGGCCCCACAGAAAAATGCCCTGTGGCTCCATCCTCCTCGTCCAGCCCAGGGGTACCACTCACACTGAGTAGGGCCTGGATGGCGGTCCAGCAGATTCTGGCCCCTCTAACCCTCTGGTCCCTTTCCCACCCCCTCCACCCCCACGGCAAACGTGAGAAATAAGCAGGAAGGGGAAGCCTACCTTCCGGCTCCTCCACGCTGCTGGCTGCCGTGGTCGGCGGCGCCACGGGGATCTCTGGAGGTTCCGGACAGGAGGAAGAGAAAGCCAGGTGAGAAGAAGTTATTTTTGACCTTAGAGAAGAATAAACACAGCACAGACCCCCACCCCCCTAGCCTTCCAGCACCCCCACTGCTCCGCTCCCCAGCTCCAGGGCAGGATGGAGGAGAACGAAGCACGCATGGTGCCCAGGCACACTGCCCCGCTCTGTGGGAGCTGTCCCTCCACCCGGCAGGGATGCCGACCCTCCTTGGTGTTGAGGAAGGACGGGAGTAGGGAGAAGTTAAGACAGGCAGACAGCGTGGAGATGGAGTGATCACCCCGAGGTGCACCTTCCACACTCCAGAACAGCCCAGCGGCCCAGGCTGACCCTACGAGTCTAGAATGGAGCGGAGGCCGGCGGCCACGGAGCCACACTGGCCTCGGGCCTGGCACCAGGGCAGTTCAAGGCCTGCCCCTGGGCCACTAGAAATGTTGGCTGCTACCATTTCTGAACAACCCAACAGTCCTGACTCCCTTTAAAAGGAAGACATTGAGCCTGGCCAGTTTGGCTCAGAGCGTCAGCAGCCGGTGGACTAGAGAGTCCCAGGTTCGGTTCCTGCTAGAGGCACATACAAAAAAAAAAAAAAAAAAAGGAAGACTTGTGCCCTGGCCGGCACGGCTCAGCAGTTAGACCAGTGGCCCGAGCACCGGAGGGCTGCGGTTCCATTCCTGGTCAAGGGCATGTACCTGGGTTGCAAGTTCAATCCCTGGTGCCCATGTTGGAGGCAACCAATTGAAGTGTCTCTCTCACATCGATGTTTCTCTCTCCCCCACCCCATTCTCTTCCACTCTATTTAAAAAAAAAAAAAAAAAGGCCCTGGCTGGTTTGGCTCAGCAGTTGGAGCATCGGCCTGCAGACCAGAGAGTCCCGGGTTTGGTTCCCGCTAGGGGCACATACTAAAAAAAAAAAAAAAAAAATGGAAAAAGTATCCTCGGGTGAGGATTAACAAAAAAGAAAGAAAGAAAAAAAGGAGACCTTGTTTTTCCCCATTTTCATAACCCCAGATGGTGGCACTAATCCCCCCCAGAGCTCTAAAAATGGTCGCTTTGCAGCTTTTTGGGGATGAAAAAGAACTTTGCAAAGTTGTGAGATTCCGGCAATTAGACGTGAAAACCATTTCACCTGGATGGACACTGCGCTCGGTTTCCCGAGGCTGGGGTTCGGGCTCTCTGCTGTCACCGGACCCCTCGAGCACCTGCGCACACCCTGACACAAACTGCTGGGCACTGCTGAGCCTGTGCTCTGAAGTGAGGCCACACCCGGCGGCCGGGGAGGTGCGAGCTAAACCTCCCGGGGGTGTGTGTGTGTGTGTGTGTGTGTCCCCTGCAAGGACCCCAAGGGGCTGCTGGGATGCGGGACCCCAGCCTCTTGGTCCAAGTGCCCTGTGACAGACCAGGAAAGCCAGCGCCCTCCACAGCTGAGGGTGCTGACACCCCCGGGCGGACCCACACTCCTGCAGAGGCCCGGGTGGAAATGTCTCTGGCTCCGCAGGTCACCGGCCCTGTTGTAGCCGCTCAATCTGTGTGTGAACAGTGGCCACGGCTGTGTCCCCACAAAACTTCACTCATAGACATGAACTTACACACGTTATCAAACCATATTCCTCTTTTTTTTTTGGTTTCAATCACTTAAAAAAGGATTTAAAACAAAACACAGCTTTTAGCCGTAGAAAACCAGGCGGGCCCACCTCCCAGGCCCGGTGCTAGCCCGGCTCTGGAGAAGAGACCTCCTCTCGCGTCTGCGGAGGGCTGGGCGCGGCTCCTTCCGCCCTCCTTTCCGGGGTTAGGCCAGTCCTGCACCCGGCGGGGCCCAACCTCCACCCGGGGGCCAATTCTCTGCTCAGGACCCTGTGTGATCCCACCAGTCGTAAGATAGTAAGACCGGCTGAGCCAAAGCTGAGTGACCCCTGCCCCAGGTTCAGGCCCACCCCAGGTCCAAGGTCAAGGTGGCACATGGGACCAGGACCCAGGCTGAGGAGTGGGACTGACCCGTTTGTTATCAGGACAGACAGCCACGGACAGGCTGGCTCTGCTGAGCTCCAGCTGCTTCTGCAAGAGCCCCAGGGGCCTGGGGGGGTCTCACAGGGAGTCCCCCTGAGCGCAGAGATGCTCATCCATGAGCACTACCCTCGCTGGAGGTGGGGACAGCCTCCGGAAGGGGAGCCCCGGGGAGGGGGTGCCCGGCACGTACTGATGCAGGGCGCGATGGGGGAGCGGCTCTGCTGGTAGCCTTTGGCGCAGCGGTTGCAGGTGATACCGGTCACGCCGTCCTTGCAGGGACACTGGCCGGTGGTTTGGTTGCAGGTCTTGCCAGCAGCACCTACAGGGTGGCAATCGCAGGCTGTGGAGGACACAAAGCAGCAAGGTCAGAGGGTGCGGAGGGGCCAGTGCACAGCCGCTCCCGGGGCCCCTCCCCACCAGGGGCGCAGCATGGACCCCACCCCAGGACAAGAGCAGGAATGGAGGCGTGGGCCCCGCTGAGCCCACACACATTCCAGAAGTTCTGATCACTGGCCACCTGCCCACCTGGAAGGGAATGAAAATGAGCATGGACCGACTGGAAAGGACTGTTTTGGCAGCAGGAGAGTGAAGTCGGGGAGCCCTTCCAAGGGCCAGAGAGCAAGGCCGACATTCAAGCATGTTTTCAGGAATGCACAGTTCCATCATGAGTGGAGGAGTCACAACTGGGAGGTGCATCTTCTCTCGAGGGGGTAAGTTTGTGATTCTCCTTCCTCCACCCCTGCCAGCACCCCAAACTTCCTTGCTGGCCCTCTGGGGGGAGGGACAGGGTTTGGAGCCTGATGGAGCCTTAGGGTTTGCCAGGCTGCTACCACCACCTGCTCTGCCCACCTGCCCCAATTTGCAGCCGGGCTGGGGCTCAGGCTTCTGGATCACAAAACCTATAAACAGCAGCACTGGGAGGAGTCACAGTAATCGTTCGGTCAATGTGCAGAGTGGGAGGTGAACGAACCCCCTGCCAGGGTCTCACAGACAGGGAATGGCCAAGCGGCAGCGAAGTGTGGCCCCGATGCCCAGGCCAGTGGCCACTGCACAGAAGAGCGCGGTTACCTCCTGGTTTGCAAAGGGCTGGAGAGCTAGGGTGACCCTTTCTGGCACACTGTGTCCTCATGCTCCCTCCCTGTGTTCTAAGGACCCAATTCCAGAGATGCAGTGGCCAGAGGACATTGAGGGGACATCCCCACTGCTATGGACTGAATGTCTGTATCCCCCCAATTCATGTGTGCAACCCTAACCCCTAATATAATGGTATTAGGAGGTGGGAGCCTTGGGAGTTGGTCTTAGAGGAGGCCGTGAGGGTGGGGCCCTCCCGGTGGGATTAGCGCCCTTGTTATAAGAGGAGGGAGAGCGCACAGCAAGGGGGCAGCTGCGACCCGGAAGCGCTCCCTCTCCAGACACTGCAGGCACCTTGGCCTTGGACTTCTCGCCCGGGCAGGGAGAAATAAATATCCATTGTCCAAATCCATGGTGTTCTGTTACGGCGGCCTGGGCCCACCCAGACACCCACCAACACCTGCCGCCTGGGCTGGAACTACTGGACAGGGCCGCACCCGACCCGCCGCACCCACAGCGCCATCCAGGCAGCTGAGTGTGAGCAGAAGGAAAGACCTGATGGTGCAGGGCAGTGTTCTGACTCTCCCTGTCCCCCTCGCCCTCCCCCCTCCCTGTCCTCCTCCCCTCCCCCTCCCCCTGTCCTCCTCCCCCTCCCCCTCCCCCTGTCCTCCTCCCCCTCCCCCTCTCCCTGTCCTCCTCCCCCTTCCCCTCCCCCTGTTCTCCTCCCCCTCCCCCTGTTTCCCCCCGTCCCCCTTCCCCTCCTTCTGTCCCCCTCCCCCTCCCGCTCTCCCTGCCCTCCCCCTCCCCCTCCCCGTCCTCCTCCCCCTCCCCCTCCCCCTGTCCTAGGGAAGTGGGGTGACTTCAGGGTGCATCCGGCAGCAATCTCGATGGGTGCCCCAAGCTGCTGTGTGCGTCTTCTCCAAATGGGAGAAAGAAAACCCAAGAAAATAAGTGCGACAGGAGCCCCTCCAGCTCCGTGAAGGCTGGAGTCTGCGAAGGAGGCGCGGCCCCTCCAGCCAGCCGTGGGCCCAGGAGCCTGAGAGTTAGGGAGAGGGAGGGGGGAGGAGGGGAGAGCAGACGGGAGAGCAGGAGGAGAGGAATGTGAGGAATTGTTTGTTGAAGTTGTGTCCGGACACGTGTGAGCTTCCCGAAACTCTTGGAGGAGTGCGGGTCCTGGTGGTGGGTGCTCCGGACAGGTTAGAGGGCAGGGGCACGGGCCCGGGACAGAAGGCCCTGGGCGCCAGGCAGGCGGCCTGGTGGACCGTCTGCAGCTTCCTCACAGTGCTGGGTCCAGAGGAGGAGGATGGATCATTCCAGTCCTGCCCCTGCAGCAGCAGTAAGTCCTTCTGTTAGAAACTGGTCTTTTTTGTTGTTGTTAATCTTCACCCGAGGATATTTTCCCATCGATTTTTACATAGAGTGGAAGGGAGGGAGGGAGGGAGGGAGGGAGAGCAACATCAATGTGAGAGAGACACATCGATTGGTTGCCTCTTGCATGACCCTGGCAGGGGCCGGGGTTCAACCTGCAACGCAGGGGTGAGCCCTTGAGTGGAAATCGAACCCAAGACTCTTTGGTCTGCTCTAACCGCTGAGCCAAACTGGCCAGGGCAGAAACTGGTCTTCTTAACTCTACCCTAAATTCAAGTCCATTCCTTACTGTTTTTTTTTTTTTCTTTTCTTGGGTTTTGTTTGTTTGTTTGAACTCAGTTAAGGACTCAGCCTCGACGCGTGAGGGGCGGACGGCTGGAGAGTCACCGCCGGCCCTTCCCTCGGGCCCCTCACCCACCCGTGATGGGAGGGCGACCGAGCATGGGCAGCATCTCGAAGTCGGCCACAGGAGAGCAGAGGGCCACACACCGGATCCTACTGTCCGAGCTCCGGACAGGGCACCGGGCGAATGTGGACTCCTGAGGCCCCGCCAACTGACGTCCTCGGCCTGCTGACGCAAGCCTGCTGGTGATGCCAAGACGCCGCCAAGACGCCCTCCACTCAAGCTAATAAACATAACTGTGTGCGCTTAACTGCAGGAGCCCTGACCTGGTGCTCGGAGGTCACCAAAGGCTGCTCAGAGGACACTAAGGGTCAGTGCTAAGTCACCCACAGGCAGCACCACCAGCCCAGGTCATCTTTACCGTGGAAGACGCTGGCCCAGAGCAGAATAGGGGCAGCAGGGGGAGGACTGTGTGTCCTTCCCCTAAGGCCCCTCGCAGCTGAGGGCCCCCCTCTGTGGTGTTGGGGCAGCTGGGTCTGCTGTGTGGAGCCGGCACTTCCTAGGGACCCCCCTGTGATTACAGGAGGGGGTGCTTTATCGTGGTTCCCTATCTTTCTCCCAAGATTCTGTAAAGACCCGGACCCACGGGCCCCTTAGCCGGGTCTGACGGAAGCAGGGCTACCTGCTTCCACAAAGCGGTGCTCCGGGAGCAGAAGCCGGCAGGGTCCCAGGTTTGGGGAAGGGGCTCTCCGAAAGCTGGTCTGGTCACCTCCAGGGCAGTGGGATCATCAAGAGGAGGACAAGTCCCCTAACGTAGCACCACCACCCCGACACCTGTGACCACCTTAGTGCGTCCTCACTCGTACAGTGGTCAGCTCGGGTCCTCACACCTGCCTGGGAAATGGGCATGACCCACAAAGCCGGAGACTGCAGACTGGCAGGAGAGTTGGCAGGAGGATGGAGAGGGCCGACCTCTGAGGCCATCACCGAGGCCCTCGCCCTCTCTGGACGACCCCTCTTCTCATTCTGCAAGGAGAAATTCACGCCTAAACCTGCTGAAACCACGGCCAGATGGGCTTCACCACGCATGGTCAAGTACAATCCTAACAGAGACTTGCGATGCATTCAGAGCAGGGACTCTCTCCCAAATCCCACTGACAAGGAAAGTCTAAATCATCCCCCTTTGCTGAGAAGTGTGGGGAGAACTGATGGATGACAGCACCCCACAGTATTTCCTCCACATCCCGGGACAGGGACTCGAGCAAGCAGTTTCAAAGGAAGGGGGGCTGAGCCACCTACTGATACCAAGGGGGCCCCCGGCCCTGACCCTCAGGGAGACAAAGCTCAAGGGCTCCTGCTGCATTTCTTCCGCCCCGACACAGGCACACAGAGAGGGGACACATGTGAGCGAACAGACTCACACCCGCACAGCGGCCGGTGGGGCTGCGCCGAGGCTCCGCCTGTGCAGGGGGACAGGCGAAGACAGCCTCCCCGATGCCGAGAATGGGATCTGGCTCAGAGCGTCTTCCGCCACAGGAAGCCACGTGGTGACTCCGGCTCCCTGGAAGTCAGCCACTTTTTTCAGCAGAGGTCAATCCCTTCCACGGCAGGTCACCTCGTCTGCATGGAGCAGGCAACACCTGGTCATGGGAAACAATCTACCCCAGGGTTTTTCCACCGAAAGGAAGGTGAGACCAGACGGAAGCTCGGGGCCCTGAGAAGGCAGCAGGATTAGGTTTCTCACGAACGAGGCGGATTGGAGAACCTCCAGGTACAGAGGAGAAACCCCACTGTCCTTGCTCTGGGCCACCAGACAGGGTCAGGTGGGCATCAGGAGACCCAGGTCCGGGCCTGTCCTGCCGTAATACTGTGTGACCCGGGGTTAGTGCCTCCCTTGCTCTGAGCCTCTGGTGGCTCACAGTAAAGACAGAGGTCTACACTCCCACTAAGTCACTTCCAACTCAGCAGCCTAAGGTTGGGTGTCTATACGGCTCCAAGAATCCACGGGGACGGCCTGACTGGGGACTGGCACCCCACTGCCGCAGTTCATTGCGGCGACCTGGCCGAGGGTTCAGGGAACGTGCTCCTTACACCCCGGACACCTGAGGCCTTCTGTCCATACCCGGCTGCCCTGCCCAGCACCACTGTCCACCGAGCAGTACCAGGACGCCCGCACTGAGACCTGGCTTCTCTGTCGGCTGGACGACGTGCACCAGGGCACTGGAGGCCCGGCAGGGCCGACCTGGGAGGCAGACACCCCTGATGCCAGACGCTCTCCCTGCCTCTCCCTGTTGGCTCTCAGGCTCTCTGTCCCTGAGGGCCCCAGCCTCCATCGGGGGGAGACACACGCAAGGCGGACCCCCTCTCCCTGCAGCTCACACCCTGGCCTCTGGGAATTCACCCTGGGCTCCTCTCAGGAGGTCTGGCTGCTGTTCCTGAAGACCTGGCTCTAGCGGCCTTCGGGGTCAGGCAGGACCTTCAAATGGCACTGATGTCAGGACATAGGAGAGGGAGCTGGCTTTAGTGGGTGTGTGGACCTCTGTCCTTACCGGTGAGCA